TGTTTTTCTTCGTAAATCTTTCTTTGTCCTTCTGTTTCACTTATAAAAGCCTTTTTGTTCAATATATCTCCTTCCTCTTTTTCACAGTTTCTCCTTATTATCGTCTCTCTCTCTCTCTCTCTCTCTCTCTCTCTCTCTCTCTCTTTCATCGTTCAACACTGTCACCTCGAGACCTTCTCCCCTCTCACCAAGCCTAGCTTTTAATACAGCGCTCGCGTCTGGCGACGTCGACCCTTCCTTAAGCCAAAAACTAGCTTTGGCCAGCAACGCTTAAATGATCAAATATTTTCACTCTCGGCTCCCTCATGTTATGCAAATATCTGAGAAGAATGCCGAATTTCTATGCAGATGGGGCCGAAGATTGCACTTTATTGAATCAATCACTACAGAAATCCCTCTGTCCATTCACCCAACCAGCTAAATCTTTCCTCCCTCATCTTGAACCTGTGCTCTATCCGCCTCACTTCTCTCTTGCCAACAATCTATCTTGCCTATCTATTTCTCCCAAAAATAACGGTTAAAATGAAAAGAGAAAAAATGGTAACCAAAAATAAAAAAAAAAAAAACTACGCAAGAATTTCATCAACAAATCGGCCTCTAAATATATGCGTTTTAGTTCGATGTGTAACACGGATTTATTATTGTAATTATATTCCGACATTGTTGTTGTTGGTGATGTTGGGCCGGGAGAGTTTTGTCGCTCGTCAAAGTCGTTCACGACTTCGATTGATAGGTTTTTTTTTTTTGTTTTCTTTCCTTTTTTTTTTTTTTTGAGGCTGATATAATGTCATTTTCCCATTTCATCTTTTTCTTTAGCCCCCACTTTTTTTTTTAATGTTTTTTTTTGGTTGGTTGCAGGAATTTTTTTTTTTAGTTTAACTTTTTTTCTCCTCGCCGCCATTTTGTTTCCGTAAATCGTCGCCTATCCAGTTTGCTTTCTCTTTCTCTTGTCGCTTCTTCCTCTTTCTTTCGTCTTTATTCTTTCGTTCACGTTCACTTTTACTTCCTTTCGTCTTTCTATCTCGCTCTCTTTCATTTTCTTTCTTCTTTTCTACCCATTTTCCCTTTCTTCTTTTTTTTATTTCTATCTTCTTTCTTGACCTTCCTTTTCTTACCTTTCTTTTATCTTTCTGTCGTCTTTCTATTATGTCGCCAATTCTTCCTTCTCTCATTTTCTTTCTTTTCCTCTCACGCTTTCTCATTTTCTTCTTCTCCTTCCTTTTTATTTTTCTTCATTTTCTCTTTTCTTTATGTCCACGATTCTTTCCTCTCTGATTTTCTTTCATCTTTTCTTCCTATTTATCTTTTCTTCTTTTTCCTTTCTTCTTTCTTCCTCGCTTTTCCTCCCCTTTCATGTACTTCATACTATCTTTCTTTATGCCATCAATTCTTCTCTCTCACTGTTTCGGATTTTCTTTCTTTGTTTCTTTTCATTTTTGACTACTCCTTTTTTTTATTCATTCTTTCTTTTTCCCCTTTCGTCCTTTACATTTTTATTCGTTCTCTCTTTTCCTTTATGCCATAAATTCTCCTCTCCCTCTGATTTCTTTTCTTCTTTCCTTCCTATTTGCCGTTTCTCCTTTTTTTTTCTTTCTTCTTTTCTCCCCTCTTTTCATTCACTTTCTTTTTTCTTCATTCTCTCTTTCCTTTATGTCAGCGACTCTTTTCTCTCTTTCACTCTCTCTCTCTCATTTTCTTTCGACTTTTCTTCCCATTTCTACTTTTTTCTTTTCTCTTTCTTTTTCCCCATTCACTTCTCATTCTTACTTCGTCTTTCCGTTTCCTTTATTTTTTACTCCATCAATTTGTCTCACTCTCTCTCTCTCTCTCTCACTCTCTCTTTCTCTTTCTTTCATTTTCCTTCTTCTCTTTCTCATATTCTTTTTCTTCTTTTTTCATTGTCCTCTCCATTTTATACACTCATCCTTTGCTCTCTTCCGAGATTTTTTTCTTCCGCACAAATTCTTTGTCCCATTCTGTTATCATACTTACACACATACATACATAACACACACACACACACACACACACACACACACACACACACACACACACACACACCGTCCTGGATATGAATGACGAGATAAACTACATCCGCTTCCTGGGTAAGACAATAAACTACGTCCAAGAGGAAGGACTTTGATCAGGAGGTGTTGAGGAGCATGGTATCACCTCTTAATTGCTGATTTACCCAGGACCACCCTGACACAGGGTGGTGGCACTTCTCAGGGTCCCGGCTATGGGCAAATAGTTAACTCCCACACTGGCGACAGAACACCATTAAAGTGTAAAAATAGGTTTTAGTACCAGAAATATTTTGCAAAAAATTATTACCAGTAATAAATTTTTGACGAAAAAAAATTACCAACCACAAAAATATTGTCGGCATCAAATAACACACTGAAGTTGATATGCCGTAAACCAAACCAAACCAAACCACACACACACACACACACACACACACATATATATATATATATATATATATAGATAGATAGATAGATAGATAGATAGATTCAGGGTGTAGCAGAAATATATGCCACATGTAACGACCATAATAGTAAGATATTTAGCCAGATTAAGACACCATTGCCACGAATGGTTTACCATATGAGTTGTATTCGTGGGAGGTATGTATGGGAGATATTTCTGCCGCATTCTGTATCTCTCTCTATCTATCTCTCTCTCTCTCTCTCTATATATATATATATATATATATATATATATATATATATATATATGTAATAAATATGAATGTCAGTGTGTCACTGTGTCACACTTTTTCAACTTTACTCCTAGAGGCTCTAAGCCAAAATATAAAACCATTTTGGAATCAGGCCGACTCCGTGAGCAAATTCAAAACATTCCTGGTCAGATCCGAATCGGCAATCCTAAAATTTTGGATTCCCAACTTTTCATTACTGTCATTGTTTTCAACGTCTTTTCTCACGTTATTTTTTTCGATTAATTTTTTTTTTTTTTTTTTTTTTGTACACAAGCAAGTTTTATAATTTAGCAATAAACAACTTAGCGATCATTTTACGTGATTTTCTACGACGAATTTTTTTTATATGAAAACAATTTTTATAACTTGGAAATAAATATGGGAATAATCGAAATAAATTGCGAAATTCAGCAAAAGTCCCCCATGAAATAAAAATAATTGTACGGAAAGTAAGGACCTACGTACATCAAATTGTCTTTAAATTATCGTTGAACTTTTAAAAGGTAAGCTTAAATATTAATACAGTACTTTAATGCATCGACCAATTTAGAGTTCTTCTGGAGTTTATTGTTGTCTATCACATCTATTCCTCCTTCGCTGTTGTGATGAAGGCCAAATCAAGAGACCCCCGAAGCAGCTAGCTTAAATGCTGCCTGATAGAGTAGCTTTTAAGCTAATATATATATATATATATATATATATATATATATATATGTATGCTATATGTGTGTGTTAAAGTAATAAATGGGAATGTCGGTGTATCAATGTGTCACACGTTTTCAACTTTACTCCGAGAGGCCCTAACCCAACATATACGATTTTCGAATCAGGCCGACTCCGTGAGCAAATTGATGGAAATATAGTTTAAATCTATACTATATTTGTGTGTTAAAGTCATTGCTATTAGAGATAAAGCGTATATATATATATATATATATATTTGTATATTTAGGCAGCAATCCTTCCTTTATGCATGTTTCATTAAAAACGACAGACAAGGTACTACAGTTGAGCTTTTTATTTAATTTTTCTTGTGTTCTGACAAGAGCTTTCTTTTCTGGACAAAGAGTGTGTAAGAACTGTCCGAATGTTCTGTGTTTCCGAGCGCTTTCGGCTATACCTTTAGCCATTATCAAGGATGGTTCAATTATCAGCTTAGTAGAGTGTGTTCTATGTATGTTCAGTGTGTGGTAGTGATGTTTTAATTTCCGAATACAGTTAGCAAACTAAAAATAATGGAAGCTCTAATAATAAAAAAGAAAAAGCCAACTCTTAACAATATCAACTATGAACAAAGCCACAATGTGCTAACCGTAGACCTAATAGAATTCTTTTCATTTTCTTTTTCTTTTTCATTTCAAAATAATCACAAACTTTTAGGAATACGTTATGAAAGCGTCGCCCATGTGACGACAGCGTGACCATGTTAGACGGAAGGCTGATCATTTTAAAAATTTTCAGTTATCTGTTCTGAATAAGACTTGTGTTTTTATGTCCATCGTATTTGTCATATTGAACTGAATTGTATTTTGATGAATATTGTCTTGAAAAAGGTTTAATAAACCGAAACGTCAGACGTCGACATTTCTTTCATTTAACTACATTTAAGGATTTTTGTTTGTTTTTTCAAAATTTTTTCATTCTGTCGGATTTATATCCATTTACACTTGCTTATATATATATATATATATATAGTGGAGGGGTATTGATAAGCTTTGAACAAAGTTATCTCAACAACAAGTATTGTGTAAAAAGTTCTGTTTTTATTGATCGGGAGCTCCAAAAACAATAACTTGTACCAAGTTAAGTTTTGAAAAAAACCGTAATTCCCCATGTATAATACGCTTTCATCCTAAAATGAAGCTGAAAGTGTGGGAAAATTCTTCTACTCACGCATAATACGCATCCATTGTTTGGTAATCACGCATAATACACACCTCTTGTTTGGCAATCAAACGCTATAAATTGTAACTCTCCAATATCAATATGGCCAGTGTTTCCTACACTTATATTAAAAAATGCTTTTAAAAATAGAATATTATTATTTTAATTTAGTTTTATCATAATTCTTATTTTATTTTAACGGAAATTTTTTCAAGATTTTTTTGTAGCTATGCATAATACGCACCCTTGATTTTGTTTAATATTTTTTTAAAAATGCGTATTGTACATGTGGAATTAAGGTATCTTAGAATCTCAACTATAAAGTTCTAATGAATTGTCCTCATTGTAACCTGGATTCCATTAATTTATGCACAATACTCAGGAGGTATGAATGCCCCTCTCTATATATGTTCTTATTTTTCTCTCGTTTTTTTTATGTCTCTCTTTCTTTTATGCTTTATTCTCTCTCTCTCTCTCTCTCTCTCTCTTCCCCTCTCTCTCTCTCGATCTGTTCTGTTCTCTCTTTATTTTGTTTTGTATGCAGTTTCTCTTTATTTTTCCTTCTATTTTCTTTTTCTCTTTCCATTTTCTTTCTTTTCTTTTTTCCGTTATCTCATTTATTTATCTTCCTTTTTTTCTCTACCCATTTTTTGTTCTTCTTCCTTCTTTTTTTCACGATAAATTCATCTCTCTCTCTTTCTCTTTCTCTCTTTCTCTCTCTTTCTCTTTTTCTCTCTCTCTCTCTCTTTCTTTCTCTCTCTTTCTCTCTCTTGGTTTTCTTTTTCCGTTATCTCATTTATTTATCTTCCTTTTTTTCTCTACACATTCTTTGTTCTTCTTCCTTCTTTTTTTCACGATCAATTCATCTTTCTCTCTCTCTCTTTCTCTCTCTCTTTCTGTCTTTCTCTCTCTTGGTTTTCTTTTTCCTTTCTCTCATTTTGACGTTATTCCCTTTCTTTCTTTTTTTTATTCGCCGCTTTTTGTTTTTATTTCTTCTTTCATCGTATATTTCTTCAGTTTCTTCATTTTTCACTAATTCTTTTTTCTACTGATTATCTTCCCTGTTGTAATCACCTTTTCTTCTTCTTTATTTGATTTTTTTCTTCATTTAATTCTCTTTCCTTTTCCCCTTCTTTTTTCATTCATCTAATTCTATTTTATTTCATTTCTACTTTGTTTTCTTTTTTTTTCATTCCTTTGTACTTAACTTTTATACGATCTTTTCCTTTCTCTTCTCCTTCCTTTCTTTCCTTCTTTTTTCTTCCTTAAAAATTTCTCTTTTTCATTTTGAATATTTTTCTTTGATTTATTCATTCTTCACCCTTCTTTTTTTCTTTCTTAATAATTAGTCTTTATCTTTTTCTGTTCTTTCTTTCTGTTATGGTAAGGTTCCTTGTACCACGGTGATAGTCCAAGGTAGAACCAATAAAGAAGAACTCGAACACGTATATGGAATAACACAGATATATTACAAACAGGAATATATACAGAGAAGTAGAAAGTGTTAGTACGAACAATTAGGTTTAGTAGTAATTGTCTGAACGCGACTCTGTTTCGGACTGTCTCTGACTCGACTGACTGACTCGCTCGCTCTGACTGACTGACAGACTCCTGACGGACTTCACACCAGACTTTAGATTGAACTCTATACTTCAGACGGAACAGTATTTAGTCACCCCCACCCCCCCGCCACGAGGGCATCATGTGGCAGAAGGGCGGTTTAACGTGGGATCTCCGAGTCCGTGGGCTCGGCCAAAAATATGCCCTTTGAACCCGTATAAACGGGTTCAGGGTCGGTTTACCTCCCCGAAAGAGACTCTGCCCTTCGGCGTAGCCTCGTTCGGGTTCCTCTCCGCCCGAAGGCAAAGAGCTCAACCGATCAGCCAGTCAGCCGGTCGTCCGACTTCAGACTGAACTCACTGCTTCGTCTTGAGGCGCAGTATTCATTACGTATGGAATAGTCCATTATGTTATTATGGGTAAGGTCCCATAACACTTTCTTTCAGTCTTCTCCCTCTTTTTCATTCTTTTTCCTTATTTTAATCTTTCTTCCATTTTTTTCCCTTAGTAATTCCTTTTTGAACATTTTTTCTTTTTTATTTCATTCATTTTTTCTTCCTTTTCTTCTTCTATTTCTTTCTTTTGATCATTATCTTCCGCTTTCATTCCCTTTTCTTTCTTTAGTTGTCTCTCTGCCTTTTCCCTTCTCTCTTTCTTTCATTTTTCTTTCTTCTTAACAATTTCTCTTTCTCTATCTTTTGCAACGTACGATGGCCGTTAATAATTAAGTATAACTCAAGTCTTCAATGTTAAATAAAACAGTATTTAATCACAACTGCAAATAAATACTTAACAAAACAAATAAGTAAAAGTCAACCAAAGATAATTAACCATTTCAGTGAATACCTTGTTAGTAGCGTGGCTCGGCTTAACACCCAGTAAATTCTAAATCAAAACCGAAGTCGTCAACGCACAATAATTCACACTAATTCAACTGGATAGCTCCACTCAATACTTACTCAATAATCACACTAGTCAGTAGCCTGCCACAGTTATTTATACAACTGGCGGAGAAGTAAAAGTCAATCAAAGATAATTAACCATTTCAGTGAATACCTTGTTAGTAACGCGGCTCGGCTTAACGTCCGGTAAATCCTAAATCAAAACCCAAATCATCGACGCACAATAATTCACACCAATTCGACTTGATAGTTCCACTCAATAGTCACTGAATAATCACACCATTGCTCAGTTGAGAAGGTCGTATATCTGACACAAAATGATTTCAAACTGTTCTCTTTCAAGCTGAATAACTCAAAGGATTTTTCAGTGATTCTTACTATAAATGGAGTCAAGATGGCTAACCGTCTTATCTGAAAACCTGGAAAAAACTCAATTAGTTTAGTTTGATTTTAGATACTAAACATTTTGCGGGGTGGACAATTATCCCATGATGTTACAAGATTTGGACAATTTTGTGATATATATATATAATGTCATTCGCATACAAGCTTGTTTCACTGACACCGCTGTTTATACATCTGGCGGAAAACATATATTCATAAGTTCAGAGTGTCACGTTCGAACCACGATGTCGGTAGTTACTCATTTTTTTTCGATATGACAATATCTTAATCTCTTTCATTTTTTTGTTTTCATTCATTTTTCTTCCTTCTTTTCGTTTTCATTTTTCTTTATTTCTTAATAATTTCTATTTTTTTTAAATCGCTCTTTTTATTTCAATCTTTCTTTCTCTCTCCCATTTTTTCTTCTTCTTTCTTTTTCTTTTTCCGTATTTCTTTCTTAATTGTTTTTTTTCTTTGTCTGTTATTCTATTTTCATTCTTCCTATCTCTCGCTCATTTTTCTTTCTCTTTCTTTTTCTCTATTTCTTTGTTACTTTTTCTTTCTTTTTAATCTGTTATTTTACTTCCATTCTTTCTTTCTCTCTCTCATTTTCCCCTCTTTGTCTTTCTTTTTCTCTGTATCTTTGTTAATTTTTTCTTTTTTTTTTTAATCCGATGATTTATTTCCATTCTTTCTTTATCTCTTCCAGTTTTTCTTCCTCTTTCTCTTTCTTTTTCTCTATTACTTTTTATTTTTTTCTTTCTTTTTAATCTGTTATTTTATTTCCATTCTTTCTTTATCTTTCCCATTTTTTCTTTCTCTTTCTTTTTCTCTATTTCTATGTTAATCTTTTTCAGTCTTTTTAGTCTCAAGCAACGCCAGCTTTGCAAAAATAATAATATACGATTTAATTATGTTAAACACACACACACACAACACATTTTTCGTTACTCATATGAAGAAGCCATAGAAGCAAAATCCATGATCGAATATTATTTTCGTAATATACTTTCATGAATGTTTCTCCAAATGTCAATAATATATATATATATATATATATATATATATATATAATTATTTTAAAATATATATTCATCAGGACATAGAAATTACCATTTTTGGAAACCAAAACCTAAATTTTAAATTAAACTAAATTTTTAAATTAGATTCTAAATTTGAATTTGAATTTGAAGTTCAGTTTCCATTTTCTGAGTAACTTTCGAAAAAATTAGTCTATTTATAAGCTAAATAGTATTATATACGTTAAGTCGGTGAGGGAATGAGAATTCAAATTTTTATTATTTTTTTTTTTAACGAATCACTATATAAGTATAATTTTATGTGGCAAATTGAAAGTCGCTTAAGTTTAGGTGGGGGTTTGAAATTTCTGTCTATTGATACTGACTTCCTTTTAAGGGCAACTTGTCATCAAATCTGTTTTTTTTTTTTCATTTTTGTTTGCACTACAATGAAATTGGCATTTTTTTTTCCTATTTATTTTCTTATTTTGTAAAATACATCAAGTTTTTCTGAAAGGGGATTTCAAATATGATTAAGTCATATTATTTATATTTATAAAGATTTAAAATACTATATTTATTGTATTTATTAATATATTATACATGATATTGTAAAATTAAAATATTAGAATTTTATTACGCATATATAAACTATTTTATTTATGATCAAAAAATAGATATATAATTATGCAAAGTATTTTTATAATTAATTATTTTTAAGGAAAATATGAGACAAAATCTAAAAAAACAGCCACTTCATTTCTTTGATTTAATAAATTTTCATTTTTTAGAAACTTAATAGTATATAACTTTTCACGTAGGCACAACGGATATGGGTCATTTAAAGACGTACATGTTTTCGTTTTTTTATTAGTATACATTTTACTGATGGTGTTTTATTTGTTTCTTTTAAATGCCAAAAATATTTGGATAGGGATGTTTGATTACGATACTTAATATTATTGAAAAGTCAAATGTTGGTTCCATCTTAATTTAAATATCATTTTTAGTACATCCAATATAAAATTTCACAATATAAGGATTCTAAATAGATGATATTGTGCATTGGTAAACTACAGAGTCTTTGAGACATTTATTATTCAAAGGACAATATTCAAGATTCCTACAGTTACTTAAATTTTCTTTACTATTGTTTATTCTTTTTTCTTTGATTCTGGCTTAAGCAATTAGTTAAAATTCTATTATTATGATTTTTATATTTTTTATAAATTTTTAGTACAACTGTAACTTAATTTTAGGGTATTTTTATTAAAATTTTTGCTAAGTGTATTATTTCTTGGATTTTTTTTCAATTAAAGCAAGGAATTTATGTCCTAACTTACTACTAACCATTTGGTTGAATGGGGGTGTGTACCAAAATATCTATTTCTTCTCTAGTTTATATATATGATTAAAACGAAAGATGGTCCACGTGTGCTTCATATAATATAACATGGAGAATTAATAGGCCGTCTAGTGAAATTTGAGGAATAAAAATAAAAACAAAAAGATCACATCATTGGCAATATCTAAAAAGAAAGTCACATTAAAGTATTAAACAGGAATTTGGGATTACTAAGAGAATATAGTTTCCACAGGGAGACCTCTAACCAACAACAAGAGCAATCCTCGGAAGAGTGAGTCCATTTCTTTGTTAATTACTCGTCTCTTTGAAAAAAGCCACAGGCGTGTCCGAAAATTCCGACTTTAAAATCTTTCTCTTCGTGCTGCATTTTAGTATATCATATGATTAATGTTATTGTCAATGTTGTTATCATTTTATTGTCTTTTTCTTCCTCAGTTGCATTAACCTACCTATTATATTTGCACACACACACACACACACACACACATATATATATATATATATATATATATATATATATATATAAAATAAAAAATATATAGAAAATAGGAAAAACTCGTTAGGTAAATAATTCAAAGTTCTTTAGTATTTTCGTTATTTTTTAAAAAAAACAGTGCTCGATACAAAAGTAAAGCCTAAATATATCCTGACTTGACGTCTTTGAATGTAACTGAGACATTGATACACATTATTAACCCTTACGCCCCTTTTTTTTTAAATAATTGCTCTAGCCGTCACCATAGTAATTTTAATTTTAATAATGAATATGCTTATAAAAACGCGTAAATTCCAAGAATTAGTTATT